TGTGATCAGAAAGCAATCAAGAAAAGGAAAGGGGCCTGGGTCCTGATGTCCCCTTAAAGGACATGTTCCCAGTGACCTACATTCCCTTCACAAAGCCCAAGAAGGTTTCACCACCTCCCAATATCACCACAGGCTGATGACCAAGCCTTCAACATATGGTCTTTTAAGAGGCAGTCAAAATTGAAATCTAATAGTTTAATATCCACAATATATAAAAGATCCTTACAACTAAACATAACAACAAATAATTCAAAATGGCCAAAAGACTTAAGTAGATATGTTCCCAATGACATACAAATGGCCAACAAACACAGGAGAAGATGATTAGCATGGTTATCAGAGAAAGGAAAACCAAAACCACAGAGAGATGCACTTTCCAACCACTAGAATGACTGTAGTAAAAAATGACAAACAGTAACACACATTGGGGAGAATATATGGAGCTGGAACTGCCACACATTGGTGGTGGAAATATAGAACAGTGACACCACTTTGGAAAACAGCCAAACAGTTCTTCACAGAGTAAAACATGGAACTACCATGTAATCTAAAAGTTCTATTCCTATATTATATACCCAAAAGAAATGAATATTAACACAAAAATCTGTACATGAATGCTCATAGCTTATTATGCACACTAGGCAAAAAGAGAAACAATCAAAATACACATCAATGGGTACATAAAACAGCCTACAGCAGAGAGTACTGGGAGACTGTGGAGTGGCTGAGATGACATTTCTTGCTGGGTTGAAAAAAGGTTCTGGGGCTAGAGAGATGGCTCAGTGGATAAGAACACTGACTGTTCTTGCAGGAGACCCGGGTTCGAATCCCAGCACCCACACGGCAGCTAACAACTGTCCGTAACTCCAGTTCCAGAGGATCCGACAGTCTCTTCTGTCCTCCACAGGCATTGCATGACACAGGTGTACTTACCTACATGGAGGCAATTACACGCAGACACATAATATAAAAATAATATTTTTTAAAAAATAAAGAAAAAAGGTTCTAATGTTGACTGTGGTACACTATAGATTTAGCATATTTGCACCACTCTGCACATTCACTAAAAATGATTTAACACTTAGCATTTATAAATGTGTGGTATATAAAGTATACCTAAATAAAGCTGTTAGAAAAAAGCACATAGAGCTTAAAGTTTGAGGACTAGAAAAGGACACATGTGAAAGACTTTTGCCTTATATATGTGAAATACTGAATTATGGCCACAAACCATGCCCACCGTAGAGAACAAAACCAAATGATCCCTACCGTAATTGATCCTACAAGATACTCATACATGTAATACATATTTTTCCTTTTAAAAATCATACAGGTAATTGGGTTTGGCAGTATATGCCTGTAATCTTAGCACTTGGGATGCTGGGTAAGAAGGATCTTCATCTTTTAAAAAGGGGAGGGGAGGCTGTAGAGATGGTTCAGCAGTTTAACAGCATGAGTTGTTCTTGCAGAGGACCTGGGTTTGGTTCCCAAAACCCACATGGCAGCTAACAGTCATGTGTAACTCCAGGTCCAGGGGATCCAATACCCTCTTCTGACCTCTGAATGACACTGAATGACATGGGTACATTTACATACATGCAGGCAATACACTCATAAATTAAAAATAATAAATTTTTTAAAAGGATCTTGTAGACAAATTTTTAGCCAAAAACATCCAGCATAAAGCAAAGCCAGTTATACAAGCATGCCGTACAGCACTCATCAAAGAAGCTTCTTTTTACATCAGATGGAGGCTACTGCAGAGTTGTACATCTGGTCAGGCATAGAGAACATACATCTGGGAGATACTAGATGACACATCTGCAGTCAAATCTCTACAACTAAGGCCCATGGAACATAGTGGAATAAGGGGTAGAGGGCTAATGCACCCCTCAACTCTCACCAATATGGCTCTCTTGTACATCAGAGTGCAATGCACTCAGAAGGCCACATCTGGCCAAGTTTTGGAGAATAAGAAACTGTAGAGTGTAGGATGGGACTCCTATAGGGAACCTCACCCACCCACAACTAAGGGACCATTGTGGAAGAAGAGGCAGAAAGATTGTAAGAGCCAGAGCTGGTTCATGATAACAAGGACGTGGAGGCTTCCAGGCTACTGGAGGCTTGCTCATGTGAGCCTGTGGCAGCAGTAGCATCGAGTGTGGGTCCCATGTCACCTCAATGAAACAAGAGCCCAAAGGGGAGGTGAAATATAGGTGGCAGGCCCAGCACTAGATTGAGAACTATAAGAAGATTCAACATGGAAATTACTGCTGTGTAAAAGTGATATCACGTTTATTGACATCCAGGATGCAGGAGCTCAGATGTTCATAGATAAAGAAGAGAATTTTGTAAAGGATGGAGGAAGCAAGGTATGAAGAGCAGGTAGAAAGGCTTTGTGCCTCCCATCAGCAGAGCGAATCCCAGATGTCAATGACAATGTAGGTCTAGGACACCAGAAAGATCTCATTAATTACAGTTTCCTGTGGAGGGTCTGATGGTAGGGTCCAAGGAAAAACCTGTTGTTTCCTGTTTGCTTCCTTGTGGTCATCTACCACCTTTGGCTCTTAAAATCTTTCCACCCACTCTTCCACAACGCTCCCTGAGGCTTGGATGGCAGAGGTTTGATATAGGTGTCCTATTCGGGGATAAGTACTTTGTAGTCTCTTATTCTCTACATTTTGGTCACTTGTGGCTTTCTAGAATAAACACCATCTGCTGCATGAGGCTTCTCTGGTAAAAGCTGAGAATTGCATTAATACTCCTGCCCCATTCACTGTATTCCCTGAGCCTTCGGTATGGGGTTGCCTTGCAGATGTGTCACTCAGCTGAACAGCTCACAGACACTTATTCTCATTGTTTGACAAGTTATGGAACTTTGTAATAGTCTTGGTCTGTTGCAAAAAGAACCTTCTTCTTTTGGGGATGAAGAGATGGCTCAGTGGTTAAGAGCACTGACTGCTCTTGCAGAGGATCCAGGTTCAATTCCCAGAACCCACCTGACAGCTATGAACTGTCCTTAACTCCAGTTCCAGGGGAATCCGAAGCCCTCTTCTGACCTCCGAGGCACTGCATGACACAGGTGCACTCACATACATGCAGGCAATACACTCATACACATAAAATAAAAATAATGAATATTTTTTAAAAACCTTATTTGATGAGTGGTGAGAGGTACATTTGTCTATGAATATAAGGATACATATTTATAATAAAGTAAATTACACTGGTCTAGATAATGTGACAAAAGTAGACTTTTCCCTAGAGTCAATGATCTATCCAGCCATGTGTGTTTGCTATGTTTACAGTGCCACACACATCCACTCCCATTGAAGGGACCTTAAGTCCAATTAGAGAGCAGTTGATTACCCCCAGGATAAAAGCACCACTACTGCACCAGTAGAGATTATTTGCTGGGCTGGTCATTGTTGTGGTTCATAGACTTTATAGCTGGATGGAGTCATTGATTGGTTTTCTCCCTTGGCAGTTTGTATAGTAGCTTCTTATACTATGGGAGCTAGTCAGGAAGGAGGCTTCCAGATCAGTTCCAGCTCAATTGCTCTAAGTCCTGTGTCTCCCTAGCGTACGTCCTGTCTTCAGCAATAGGGTCTTACCTTCAAGTTATGAGAAGCAATCTAGGGCTGTGACAATAGCCTACATTATATGGAAACTCCTTTAGACTACCCTGATCAACAGCTTGAAGGAAAGGAGGTTTCCCTTGCATGGTGCTGTGGATTTTTTTGTATATTAATATTTTATTTATTATTATTATTTTTTTAACAGAGCATAGGGTAGGGGTTTATTTACAGAAGAGTGAGCGCCCCACATTTACTGTTTATGGCTGTACTGGAAAGTCCACATGCAAATATAGATCCTGTGGCTTCCTGACAGCCACACGCATATATTTTATGTTGAGCATAATTATCCCCATATCCCTACCTTCCCTTTCCTTGTACCACCTGCTAAACCCCTGTGTTTTCTAGTTAATTTTACTTTTGTTTCTGTATTGGGTGGGACTCCTCCCTCCTTGATAAGCGTGGGAAGGAATGACTATAGCCTGCTGGAATAGTGGTCAGAGGACATTTCCAGTTAACACTCCACCCCTTTCTCAGGCTCTTACGTTCTTTCTGCCAACCTCTTCCACAAAAGTCCCTGAGCCTTGGAGGGGGTGGTAGGTATGGGATGATCTTCCTCCCACTATGTCAAGGCAATGAACTTTCGGGTCTCTGCATCATCTGTTTTCCATGAGCTGTTGGCCAGTTTCAATGGGATTCCATCTACACCACACGAAAATCTATTGTTTGCTTATAAATAGGAATCAAGCTGAGCACAGTGGCACATGCCTTTAATCCTAGTACTCAGGAGACAAAGGCAGGCAGGTCCCTGTGAGTTCAAGGTCAGCCTGAGCTACATAGCAACTTCCAGGCCAGCCAGGGCTACATAGTGACACCCTGTCTCAAAAAAACAAAACAATAAAATAAAATAAATAAGAAACAATATATAATAATGCTAAAAGTAATCAGAAGCATCCTTAGGACACAGCTATAAATAAAATTCACTGTATGTTATACACAGTGACAGAATGACTCACATCGTGTCCAACCCAAATTCAGAGATTTTAAGCAACTTGCCTATTCAGGGATTACATAGCAAAACTAAAACTCAATTCCAAGATGGTCTCTGTCTACCACATGAGATTAGGTACCACACAACCCCCTACCTCAAGAAAGGAATGAAGATTCCAATTAGGCAATAATAATAGAAGACATGGACCATAAACATATCCTAACACGGGGTCTTGAAGTTTTAGAACTTTAAGAAACTCTACCCAAATACCTCATTTTACAAATGCAGCAACCCCCAAACTCATCCTTTCATATTTAACCATAAAAAAATGAATAGATGTTTTTGTTCCTGGCTCAGTATGTAGGATTCTGTCAAAGGAAAGGGGTTACACAGGATTTGTAATACTGATGGCAGATACCTGAACTCTTTCTTACCTTTATGGTCACAAGAAAGATGGTGTAGAGGAACATAAGATTATGCTTTGATATTGCCAGATGCTTGGTATGCTGGAATGTGAAGATAATTGACCCCATCAAGGTTATCTTGGAAGGGCTAAAAATAAAACAACATTTTAAGTCAGTAAGACATCTACAACTTTCTCAAAAAGTGCTCTGCAAAGCACTAACTTAATGGACTATTAATAGATAGTAACAAAAAATGAGTTATAAAGTTTCATAAAGACTGAGTCATATAAGCTTAAATATCTTTAGCAAAAAGTATTAAGAGACTTTTAAAGACTTATTATTTTTATTTGTGTGTGTGTGTGCCATGTGTGTAGCACCTGCAGAGGCCAGAAGAGGTCGTCAGTTACCCTCAAGCTGGAGTTGCAGGCTGGGTGAGCCAATGTGGATGCTGGGAACCAAACTCGGGTCCTCTGGAAAAGCAGCATGCTCTGAGCCATCTCACTGACCCTGAGATTTTTAGAATAATTATTGTTTCTTTGTTCAGAAACCTAATCCTGAGTCACATCCCTTTAACACTACTGTTGGGAATTAGTCTTGAAAAACCCTTCCATGATAAACAAGGTCCCAAGGTAGCTGAGAGAAGTGGAGAAAAGCAAGCTGTGTATCATTTGCCTCTTTCCATGTTAAATACTCTACTGAACAATTTCAGGCCGCTGGAGAGAATGGCGAATACAAACACAATGGCTCTCAAAAAACAGCATGAGTTTAGCTGGGCATGGCGGTGCACACCTTTAAGTAAGTTATTTCTGTGAGATACAGGGCAGTCTCATCTACAGAGTTCCAAGCCAGATGTAGCTACAAGGAGACCCTCTCTCAAAACAAAGAAACCAACCAACCAGCCAGCCAGCCAGCCAACCAAGAAGTAAAACAACTCAGTAGGGTTATACAAGTTTAGAAATTGCTGTTCTAAAGCATGAAGGCTATGCTCAGTTATATTATTCTGTATAAAAGTATTCCAGGTCTCCTAGGATCTACTTCGTTAGACAAGCAAGTCCTCTACAGATCTTTCTGGATAACCCAACTCTATTCCTGGTTTCTTCTGTAATAGCTCAGTGAATTCTGAGCCGTGTCCCTTTAACACTACTAAAAAGTGGCCCAGCTGTACGCTTTGTCTCTTCTTTTTAACTAGCATACAATGTATGGTTTCATTACAGCATTTTCATACAGAATTTTTTGTTGATTCTGCTGCTCCCCACTTCCCCTCTGTTCCCCTGCCCACCTCCCTCCCTTGTCTGTTTCATTCCCTATAGTCCCCTTCCACTTCCATGTTACATTGTTCTACCACCTCCCCACCCCTTCTTCAACACTTACTTTTTCCTTCTCATGTACTCTTCTAGTTTCATAACATATACCCCACACACATACATATACATAAAGCTAGGATCTGCATGAGACAGAGCATGTGGTAATGTCACTCTGAGTCTGGACTACTTCATTTAATATAATTTCCAGACCCATCCATTTTCCTGCAAATTTCACTTCATTTTCCTTTACAGCTGAGTAATGTCCATGTGTATACGAACCACATCTTCAGTACCTGTTCATCTGTCGATGGACATCTAGTGCAGCTACACTCTTCACTTCTCCAGAGCAAAATTCCTGAGTGGATCTAATTCTATCATCTTTTAAAATTTGTATAGGCTGAGAGTATCCCAAATCGCGTCTTGTTAGCACTATTCCCTGAATTGAACCTTTCTTCTACGACTTTACTACAACCATCAAGAAGCCAGATGAACAGTCAAGGCAGTGTACTCCCTGATACTCAGGAGACTAAGGAGGAGGGTAGCAAGTTCAAGACCAACCTAGGCAACATAACAAGACCTTGTCTCAAGAAAAGAGGGAGGGGGAAAGAGAGATGGCTCAGCAATTAAGAGCACTGGCTGCTCTTGCAAGGACCAGTTTGGTTCCCAGCATTCACATGGCAGCTAACAACCACCCCCAATTCCAGTTCCAAGGGATCTGATGGCCTCTTCTGGCCTCCACAGGTATTGCATGCATGGGTGCACATACATACATGCAGTAGGCAAATACTTATCCACATAAGATCACCAGAGAGAGAAAGAGAGAGACAGAGAGACAGAGAGAGAGGAGAGGGAGAGGGAGAGGGAGAGGGAGAGGGAGGGAGAGGGGGAGAGAGAGAGAGAGAGAGAGAGAGAGAGAGAGAGAGAGAGAGAGAGAGAGAGAAACAAAAAGAGAGAAAAGAAACCCAACTGTACCTTCAAAGTTTTGCTTGGAAATCTCATCAGCAAAATATCCAGATTCACTGCTTACAAGTTATACTTTCTACATAACTCTGGCAAACAATTTACCTAAGCTGCTAAATAGCTAAATTGTTATAATAGTCATCAATAAAAATGCCAAAAACATGTAATTGATTCATTTCCATCTAGAGAAGTAGATCTTTCTTCATAAATACAACCTCTTCTCATAATCCTATGGCAATCAGGTTTTTATTTGTTGTTTTTTAAATTCATTTTTATGTGTATGAGTGTTATGCCTGCATGTATGTAAGTGCACCTGTGTCATGCAGTGCCAACAGAGGACAGAAGAAGGTGGGCATCAGATCCCCTGGAATTGGAGTTATGAAAAGCTGCTGGCCACCACATGGGTGCTGTGATCAAACCCAGGTCTTCTGCAAGAACAGCCAGTGCTCAGTGCTCTTAAGCACTGAGACACCTCTCCAGTCCCTATTCATTTTTTTTTTTAAGGGGAGAAATCCATAGAAAATTGAAATTTACTTTAAAACTTCATTTGAGAAAGTAAATGTTGAGAAATAAATTTGCTGGCTTTCTTACCATGGTCATTACCATTGGTATCTTCGGGTGCATTTCAGCCACAAATACAATTCCCCAAATGTTTTTTCAAAGAAGCTATGTAATATCTAAGGCTATTTAAGTTCAGATCTCACATAATATCTACCGACTTACAAGGACATCTTCAGCCATTCATCACCTTCTGGTTTCCAATCTCCTTTTAGCAACTGTTCACAAGCTGTGATAACAGCACCACCTGCACCTAGAAATAAGAAAATAAAACAAGAATATTTAACCAACTTTCTTAAGAAAATGTATGGCATGGGGTAGTCATAATCCCACCTCCTGATTTAAAACCCCAAGACTTTCAAAATGGAATGTGAGATAGAAAAAATGTTGCTTTGTATATACTTAAAGCACTGGGGTACCTGTGTTTTCCCTTTCACCACCACGGCAACTGTCTATTTTACTGTGATTAAGGCTGACATTGGGGTCTCAAGTAGAGACTTATATATAGGTTTGTTTTAAACCCAGAAAATAAAAATCTGTCTTTACTTTTCCTCTCCTGATATGGTTAATTTTAGGTACAGTACTGTAACAGAGGTTACAGAAATCTATTCAATTCCTACATATAAAACAAGGCTAGGGATATAGTTCAGTTTAGTAGAGTACTTGCGTAGCTTGTGTGAAGCTCTGAGTTCAAGTCCAAGCACCACATAAACCAGGCATGGTGGCACAAGTCTGTGATCCCAGCACTCAGGAGGTGTAGGCAGGAGGGTCAGAAGTTCAACGTCATCCTCAACTACATAGTAAGTTTGAGGCCAACCTTAACTACATGAGATTCTGTCTCAAAATTAATAAAATATATGAATCTATACTCAGACATATCTGCTATTTCCAACAACTCAGAAAAGAGGGAGGAAAATTACAAAAAAAGAAAGTATTATGTTTTCACATCTAGACAGGGTCTTGCTATGTAGAATAAGCTAGCCTAGAATTCACTATGTAGCCCAAGCAGGCTTCAAACTGGTGATTTTCCTACCTCATTCTCTTAAGTACTCATGAGCATAGTTGTGCACCACCAGGCCCAGCCTCAGCAATGTTTTTTATTTACATGAACACATAATTTCTTCTTAAACTTAAATAATTGACTATATTAAATAATTAACTATGGTTCGTCTCATTCTGGGGCACCTAATAAAACTATTCACAAAATAATTTTATACTATAAGGCAGCCATACTCAAAGTAATGGCTGACCACTAATATGAATGAAAAGTAAGTTCTGAATTAACTTTACTAGGTAAAAAAGTTAAGGTTTTTACTTTACAAAAAGACTTATTATTGAAGTATGTGAACCCCATTCCTATTTCCAAAGAATGATCCAGGAGTTATGGTACACTGATAACAGAACACTTATGAACACAGAAAGTTAATATTACCTCGGGCCCATCCAATAGCGATCATGACTATCCAGCCATCGCTGTAATAGCTATTAGCATGTGTGACTCCACCTACTATTTTCCAAGTTCTGGTCACTTCCTTCATTCCTGCAGCCAGAAGTTGAACAGGTAGAAATGAATAGCCCTGGGAAACTAGGTCACAAGGGCAAAAAAATACAATATACCTGAAATTAAAATGTAAATATTTTACTATATGAATAGTATCAGAATAGAACTGAAAGGCTAAACCTATCCCTACTAACACATGTGGAATACCACCACAAGTGAAATTATCCATGTATGCTTAGAATATGAATTCAAAAAAGGCAGAATGGATACAAAGGTGATTTTTTTTAATCAAGTGAAACAGAAGTGATTGTCACTGTCATGATGAAAGGAAAATGAACTATGGACTTCTTAATACTCATAGATGTACAAAGCATCACCGAGTTTTAAATTTTCACCTATATAGTTTCAGAAGGTAAGTGCAGAATTTAGTAACAAAATAAAGCAAATGTATGATCAGTTCCAGGGGTAAGGGACTCTAGGGATAGTGTTTTTGTTCTCAGGAAAAAGGAATTAAACAAATGAACCTTTGCTAACTGACCAAGGGCTGCATTTCAACTCCCTACTAATATCTTCACCTGTGTCCCTTACTGTAGGGCATAAGTTGCAATCTACACAAAGCTAGGTGACAGCTCACAATGAAAACAGGCTTGTGTTAAGCGAAAGTACATTTTCATACTGCTGCAAGCATATGAAGTTTATTCCTCAATTTAGTTAAATAAGCTTGGCTTTAGTCAATGAAGCTGCTGCTAGTTTAAGAATAATTCGCCCATTCTCTGGAAAATCACATTTTTTAATTCCATTGTTGTTAAGCATCTCCTCAAACACCATCAGTAGTATTTACTGGAAAATACATTATTTTTTTTCTCTCCATTTCTAATAGAAAATTTCATGCTTAAAGCAGAACAGAGCTTCCTACTGTGGTGATATGGAACACATAGCATGAAAAAAGCATTGTAGCTCTTTTGAAAGCAGGTATTAATTTTATTGCAATTCATGATTCATAAAGTCAGAAATCTCAAATGTATTCACAGAATATGAAATATTTGCCAAAGCACTGCTCCAGAAACCTAATATAAGATGCAATGGTTTGATGGCCCTGCCACATTCTTTCCTCTTCATCTTTACATACTAATTCCTTCTATTTTTCAAAGTCTCACTCAAATATGACTAGATCCATCAACCGTGGAAGTTGTTTCATTTCCTCTCAGCTTAGACAAGAGGTGATTCCGTGTAACTAAAGCACTTGGCTCTTATGCCTCAAAATAGCTTTTTATATATTTTTCCTTACAACATAAAATAAAGGTAATGCTCATACTAGTCCTTAGATGACAGGAATCATGGATCTTATCACCAATCCCCTAACCCACACTTCAGCATGATGAAAAACAGCTCTGCATGAACTATGGACTTCTTAATACTGAAATGGTTTATTACCATTCAATCTGGGGGCAAAACACAAAACATATAAATGAATTAGCTGATAATTACAGAGTTTGAGTTTAAGAAAAAGAAATGAATTATCTAAGAGTAAAAAAAGATTTCTGAAATGAGCTTGATTTTAAATTTTTATATGAAAATATAATAAATATTTTGAAAGTCTTTTTAAATATAGAACTAATTTCCAGGAAGTTAGGTAATGGAGAAAAAAAGAGCGTATACACTTAAATAGTAAATTGTACATATTCTTGATAAAATTAAACAATTTTGGCATCTATTATAGAATAAGGGAAGAACCCATGATTGTTTTATTTTAGTAGTAATTAATGCTTAAAAGTAAACTGCTCAAAGGAACAACTGCAGTATTAGTGACCCTATTTCCATTCCCTAATTTTATCTTTAACAGGAGTTAAAAATATATTACTACAATGAAAGAACTGTTCGTTGTGCTCAACAGACTCACAAGAATACACATCAAATGGCCCCTTACACAAGCACCCCTGCTCCACAACATAAACCAGCTGTATAGTACTCCTTTAATGAATTACTGGATCAACACCAGTTTCTTCTTCTGTAAAGATGACAATCTCGCCTTAAGTTTGTAACACCTAAAATGCCTTTAAACATGGACATGCCCAAAGAAAATATACTGGGAGAGAGAGAAAAAATGGAATGACACTAATGGATTTCTCATACATTTTTAAGTCACACAGGCCAACAATGGAGAAAGAAAAAAACCAGAAATTAGTCTAAAACAGGATACAACCAACAAATGAAAGATAAACCAATTTAAGTAGAAAATATAGGAGCAGAATTTAGCTTAGTACCAGATGTTGAGCAGAGGCTTCCCAGGGTTAGTCAAGAGCAGTACCACTGAACTAAGCCAACAGAACAATAAACTACAGTCCTTATTAGTCCAATGCAAAGCTTTGCTCCTGTGGTTACCACACTAACAAATTAATAATTTCATGTATATGCTTTTTAAAAATTGATAGAATAGCATCTACGAACTATGCCTCATATTTTCCCTCATCTAAATGCACTCTCATGTATCTGCATGTACAGTACATAGTAAGTTATGGCTGGAAGACTAAGGAAAACATTCTGGGCATAAAATCAATCACAGAAAAATTACTAAATTCTATTTTTCCCATTAAGTTTTTTTAAAATCCTATCCGAGTATATGCTGTCTTCTAAGTGGTATCTACACTGGCATAACCAAGTTATTGTTTCTCTTTGCCAGCAGATGGTACCAATCTCCAGGTGCATGAATATGAATCTACTGCATTAAAGAAGACCTTGCTTGAGTATTGGGCACATTTCCCAATCCTTTAATGCACAGAAATCGGAGGAGGCAACGTTGAAATTTTTATTCTAAGTGTTAGAGCTTTTAAAATGAAAACAGCAAAATGTATAGTCTTGAAGCCAGTACCATTTTTTTTTATATCTAAGAGTCTGTTAAGGACAGTGTTCCTATTTCAAGAGTTCAAAGCAATTGACTACTTATGCATAGCCCAAAAGATGAAACACCGTAGGTTTAAATTCCAGTTTCAGCTACTTGATAGCTGTAATACCTTTGATAAGTTATTAACTTCTCCTGCCTCACCTACATGATCTGCTAAGGATAAAACAATACTCAGCTCACAGAGTTCATGTGAGGTAAAGTGAGATAATTACACAAAGCATTTAGAAAAGTGTCTTGAACACAGTCATTATTACTGTCTTATATCAATTACAATTAGAGCCAACAGAAACACTTTTATTAACAGAAGACTAGAGATTTAATAAAAATGGATTGAGCAGCAATGGAAAGGAATATGCATACTACTGCTACATATGAAAATGCACACAAATAATCTTAGCAGCACAGGGGTGCATGAAACAGTAAATCCCAGAAAACTGCAGACAAAATGGCAGCCCACTGGGGTCAGGAGTACCTCAGTGCATTTAGTACACAAGGAAAGTCATGGGCTCAATCGAGACTACCACAAAAAATAAATACAATAGAGTCCAAAACAAATGAAACTAACATAGTATTATTTATTCATATTTAATCGAAATTACTAAAAAAAAAAAAAGAGAGAGAAAAACATAACCTTGGGAATGAGATCTCCATGACATCAGGAGAAAAACAGGGAGGATGAGAATGTATGAGTGCATGCCTGTTACTGATAAATCCAGATTTAAGGTTGAGTACAATGCGGTGCTAATACAAATAAAGATGACCACTTTGGGAAATGGTTTAGCACTATGTAACAGAGGTAAGAATCATATAGAACTTTTAAGCATATGCCAAGAGAAAATCTTACTCATATATGCCAGTGAATATATACAAATTTCCTTAGAAATATAGTTTGTAAAAACAATTTTTTTTAAAGAAATGGTTTGTGAGCTGGAGAGATAGCTCAGCGGTTAAGAGCACTAACTGCTCTTAATTGCAGAGGACCTGGGTTCAATTCCCAGCACCCACATGGCAGCTGTCAACCATCTATAACTCCAGTTCCAGAGGATCAGGCACCCTCTTCTAACCTCCACAGGCATTGCACAACATGGGTACACTTACACACATGCAGGCAATACACTCATACACATAAAACAAATAAAATACTTTTGAGAGAATTGTAGTTTTAATAGGAAAAACTAGATACAATTTTCAAGGGAGTAATGAATAAATTGTGATATATTCATTTTATCATGGGTACACAGTGGTGAAAAATAATAAATTACTACAATATAGAAAAAGAATACATAAAAACAAGTAAGAGTTCATGAAGTCAGAAAATCTTTCTTGAATTCTACATTATTCTCAAGAAACCAATTAATTTCAAGGAACAAAGTATAGTATCAATGTCAAATGTCAAACTGCCTATACTTATTACAAAAAAAACAAAAAACAAAAAAACAGTAAAGCTGGGTATGGTGACACTCACCTTTAATCCCAGCACTGGAGAGACAGAGACAGGCAGATCTCTGTGAGAGATCTGGCAAGTTCCAGGCCAGCTGAGGCTATACGGAGACCTTAACTCCCCTCAAACAAACAACAACAAAAATCAGAGTACATCCCTACAGACAATGAAAACAGGAAAATGTGCTCACAAAATAGATCAAAGCTATAGCCCACTATTTCAAAACTAGTTAAAGATATTAGGAAAGTAATATAAAACATAAAGGCTGGTGAGACGGCTCATTGAGCAGAGGCACTTGTCTGACAACCTGAGTTCAAGGATGGTCTGCTCTCAATCACAGATCCCACATGGTAAAAGGAAAGAAATAGCTCCTGCAAGATGTCCTCTTATCTCTACATGAATGCACACGTACACACGTGTGTGCACACACACACATACACACTCACAAGCGCGCACACACATATGTAATATAAAAGAATATTTTTGAAGACATAAAATCACAACAAATATTAGAATTATAAAATCGAACTGAGGACACAATACTCAGGAAAGAAATAGAAATAACAGGGTTGCTTCAGAAATGACGACCAGGCTGGACCCCATAGTGAAAATCTCTAATCCTAGCTTCATAGACAGCTGAGGCAGAAGTATCTCAAGTTCAGCAAGTGCCTGCCTCAAAACAAAAATGAAAATGAGCTAGGTACATAGCTCTGTGGTGGGGCACTGCCAAGTGTAAGGCCCTAGGTTCAACCCCCAGCAGCCCCAGTACCAAAAAGAAAGAAAAGGAGAGACCAAACTTGAAAACTCAAAGAGAAACAAACATAACAGAAAGAAACAAAGAAAAATATATTTTCATTTTTAAAAAGAGAAAGGGGCTGGAAAGATCAGCAATTAACAGCTGTTCTTGCAAGGACCCAGGCTCAGTTCCCAACACCCACATGGCAGCTAACAACTGTCCCTAACTCCAGTTCCAGGGGATCTGACACCCTCTCTGACCTCTGCAGGCACTGCACACACATGGTGCACTTACATACATGCAGGCAATACACTCATACACATAAAGTAAAAACAGATAAATCAAAAAGATTTAAGAGGAAAGAGAGAAAGACAGAGGTAGGGGGCAGGGGAGGAAGAGGGAAGGAAGGAAAGAGCAGGCAAATGTACCAAAACAGAACTTACTAAAGCAAGTCAAAGTTTTGGAAGAGTACAAATACTCAAATAGCTTTCCCAACTTAAAGCAGATTGATTTGTACTAAAATAACAAAGCAGGTATCTTGAGAATACTGACCCTGAATGTCTAACCAAACTATATTTTATTTAAATTATTAAGCTCTCAAAGGGAAAAAAAATCTTTGGGACATCTGGAAGAAAAGAGCATGTAACTTATGAAGGAAAATAACTAAAAGACAATCAGACTTTTTCACAGTAATGATTTAAGTCAGAAGAAAATAGAGTATCATATTTAAAATACCCAGTGATTGGAAGTATGAACTAACCATTTTTATATCCAACACAACTGGCTTTCAAGCAGAAAAGCTGTATATAACAAACTCATTACATGGAACTTAAGGTCTACTGAGTATTCCTGTTCCTAATGAATTTACTAGAGCTTTAGACAGCCAACATTAGAGACACTGACATAAGGGCTGGTGATGAGCAGTAAGTAAAAAGTAAGGCGAGCAAAAGAAGACAGAAGCCATACACAGGAAGTACTCTTGTTTAAAGATGGGGAAAGGGGCTGGAGAGATGGCTCGGTGATCACAAGCACTGGCTGCTCTTCCAGAGTACCCGGATTTGACTCCCACCACCCATATACTGGCTAACAGCTGTCCATAACTCCAATTCCAGGGGATCTGATGCCCTCTTCAGACCTCAATGGGCACCAGACACATACCTGGTACACATACCTAAATACAGAAAAATGTTCATACACAAAAAATAAAATTAACCTTTTTAAAATTTTTAATTATAATAGCTACCTCACAGGACTCATGATTAAGTATAAAGATAATTTAGCTGACATACAATACTAACTCAATAAATACTAGCTATCAAATGAGCACTTCTACTCCTAGTTCCACTGCCATAGCTTCCCACTACTACTTTACTGTGGCTGCTACTATTTATAACTGCAGTATTTTATATAACTGTTTACTATTATTAATTATAATCATAGTGCTTATATTACTTATATTGTTTGTAACTAGTCATTCAAAAATTATTACAACTATGAAATCTTTTCAAAAAAAATTTTTATATTTTATTTATTATTTTTATTTTATGGGTATGAGCATATTGCCTGCATGTATGTGAGGGCACCCGTGTCCTGCAATGCCGCGGAGGTCATAAGTTTACTATTATTAATTATAATCATAGTGCTTATATTACTTATATTGTTTGTAACTAGTCATTCAAAAATTATTACAACTATGAAATCTTTTCAAAAAAAATTTTTATATTTTATTTATTATTTTTATTTTATGGGTATGAGCATATTGCCTGCATGTATGTGAGGGCACCCGTGTCCTGCAATGCCGCGGAGGTCATAAGAGGACAGTGGATTCCCCCGGGACTGGCATTAAGGACAGTTCGTAGCCGCACCATGTGGGCGCTGGGAATCAAACCCGGGTCCTCTGCAAGAGCAGTCAGTGCTCTTAACCACTGAGCCATCTCTCCGGCCCCTCAAAAAAATTTTAAACTATGAATTCTTTTCAATTTTTTTTCAAAATTATTATTGTGTGTGTGTGTGTGTGTGTGTGTGCACGCGTGTGCATGATTGGAGAGAGGAGGATGTGTGTGCCACAGTACACTGTGGAAGTCAGGACTAGTTTGTGGTGTTCTTCCTCTCCTACCTTTAACAGAGATTCCAGGGCTGAAACTAAGATTGCTAGGCTTACATAGTAAATGCCTAAACTGAACCATCTAGACAGCTCCAGTAAAAATGAATTCTAAATGTTCCTAACATACGCTGAATTAATAATGGTTTTTAATAAAAAGTGTAGTTTTTACTTTCAGTAAAATAAAGCACACTGGTTTGTATCAGTACAAATTTTAACTCATTAGATCAATGCTCTTAAGGATACCTGAATTTGGACACAAGAATCCAATCTCAGGGCTGGAAAGATGGCTCAGCAGTTAAGACCTCTGTTTGATTCCCAGCACCCACATGGTAGCTAACAACTGTCCATAACTTCAGTTCCAGGGGATCCAATGCCCTCTTCTGACCTCCATGGGCATTGCACAACATGGGTGTACTTACATACATATAAGCAATACACTCATACACATAAAATAAAAATAATAAATGCAGCATTCTTTTAAAAGAATCTGGGCATAGTTGTACACGCCTTTAATCCCAGCACTCAGGAGGCAGAGGCAGGTAGGTCTCTGTGAGTTCAAGGCCAGTCTTGTCTACATAGAGTTCCAGACCAGCCAGGGCTACATAGGAAAACCCTGTCTCAAACAAACAAAGATTTCAGAAGGCTTTCAATAATCCCACAAAGTGTACAATGAAAACAATTACATATGAGCTGTGACATGTGGACTTTTTTGTTTAGTAGGCCACAGTCACCTTTTTCATCATGTCATAATTCTAGGTACATGAGTTTGGGTCACAAAATAAGCCATTTGGGCCAACAGTTGATCCCCTTTCCTGTTGAAAATGCTCCTGCTAAGTATATGTACGACAACTGGAACAATAATTGCCTCTGGGAGAAGAAAAGGGGAGAAAAGCAAGAGATGAACTGCACTGAAAACCTCGGGCATGTGTGGGTGACTTCACTGCACATGCACTAACTTTTAATGAACATTAAATTTTTTTTAAAGAAAAAAGATCCATTTTACTACAATCTATAAAACAATTTTTCAAACATCTCACAGTACATGATAAGAGCAACTTACCAAATTGAAGATGCCAATAAAATATTAGTGTGGTTTGTAAGAAACCTCAGTGGAGGCTCAGCAAGCAGTATACAGGATAAAATTCCTCCACCAAAGCAGTGGAGCATGGCCGTAAACCAGCTGGACACAGGGTTCTTCCATGCTACTGTCGCTGCTCCTGAAATGGCAGTTAAAAACATGGTCTGACACGGCTGTGTACAATACAGCAAGCCCCAAGGGCCCACTGCACTAGAGAAATAAGCTGAATCCATGACCCCAACAACTCATTACTACTCATAAGTGCGCCAACCATGATGATTAAAGCAACATATTTTTTAAGTTAGTGGCTTCTGTGGGTATACATGTGTTTAATGACTATATATGCATGTGTGTGTGTGTGCGCGTGTGTGTGCGTGTGTATGTGTATTTGTGCCCTTACCCATGCAGGCACATGTGGAGACCAGAGACTGATGTCGGGATGGTTTTTCCAAGATTTTTCCATCTTATGTTTTGAGACAAGATCTTTCACTGAACCTGAAGCTTCCTGTCTCAGACTGCTGGCCAGTAAGCCCCCAGGATCTGCCTGTCTCCAACCTCCAGTGCTAGAGTTACAGGCATGTGCTGGTTATTGTACCTGGCTTTTATTTGGGTTCTGGGGAATCTGAACTCAAGTCCTCATGCTTGTCCAGCAAGCACTTTACCCACTGAGTCATCTCTCTAGTTCCCAAACAATACTTTTGCCCTTTAAAAGATGGTTGGATGCCAGACATGGTAGTGTACACATTTAATCCTAGCACTCAGGAGGCAAAAGCAGGCAGATCTCTGTGAGATCAAAGCCAGCCTGGTCTATATAGTGAGTTAGAGGTGGGCTGGGGCTACAGAAGACCCTGTCACCAAAAAAAAAAAAGATGATTGGAGAGACGTGGAGGGGAGTGTTTCATCTGTGGACATGAGTGTGAGTCTGCTCACCTGTGCATGTCCATGTAGAAGCCAGAGGTGGAGTCCAGGTATCTTCCTTTATTGCTCTCCACCTTATTCTTGGACACACTGTCACTGACTAAATCTGGAACCGTTTTGACTTAACTGGTTAGCAATCAAGCTCTGACAGCCACCTGTCTCCATTACCCCCAGCACTTGGGTTGCAGGAGCACACCACCACACACCCAGGTTTAATGTGGGTGCTGCAATCTGAACTCAGGTCTTTATGCTTGCCTAGCAGGCACTTTACCAACTAAGTCATTTTGCAAACCCCTGGAAAAAAAATTTTTTTTTGAGACAGGGTCTCTCTGAGGCCACAGCTCACCTTGATCCCACTGAGATCTGCCTGCCTCTACCTCCCAAGTGCTGGGACTAAAGGTGTGCACCATGCTCAGTGGAAATATTTTTTTAATGGCTGACTTGGGCAACATTAAGATACCATTTGAGTTCTTACTGTTTCCTTTCATCCCAAATCTTATTGTAAGTACTCCCAGACAATGTGTCAAAGTAATATATTAAGAAAAGCTGGGGACCAGAGAGATGGCTCGGGAAATAAAGGTTCTTGCTGCCAAGTCTGACAACCTGAGTTGGATCCCAAGGACTCACATGATGGAAGGAAGGAATCAACTACTACAAGATGTCCTTTGGCCTTCACATGTGTGAGTGCATGTGCACTCCCATGCACATGCACAGAGAGAAAGAGAGAGAGAGAGAAGAGGAAAGACAGAGAGAGAGGAGAGAGAGAGGAGAGAGAGAGGAGAGAGGAGAGAGGAGACAGAGAGGAGAGAATGCTATTCTAGATTCAACAGCATTACAGAGACAACAGCTAGAGGCAGGGTACTGTAGCCTGGTAGCGGAGCACCTGATGTGCTCCACATGTGAAGCCCTTAGTCCAATTTCCAGTACCCTTACCACCACAAAGCACCAAATGAATGCAATGAATATCCTAATACCTGAAGCAGAAAGGAATTATCAAAGGCCTTAATGACCAACTAATGAAACCTATAAACAGTGGCATAGATAAAATTATTTTTATCATAGTTTAACTTCCTGGTTTTTGTGACTGTACAGCAGTTCTCAGAATATACACCCTTAAGTAATCAGAAGTGACTAGACAAAATGTCTCCAATCTATACTCACATGGCTCTAATACAAAATGTATAAGCAAAAAAATTCAGACAGAGAAAATGGTAAAGCAAGCGGGGCCAAAGATAAATATAAGAATATACAGAAGTTCCTTAACCGATTATTCTGGAACTTTGAAGCAAATTTGAAATTACTAATAAAAAAGACCAAAAAAACAAAAATAAGCTAAACCAATAAAAAATCGAAGTAATTTAGAAAAGTAGAAGTTAATGTATTTGGAGTTACAGTAGTATCATATTTTATATCACTATACAGACAGGTAGGGAGGTAGGGAGGTAGAGTAGACAGATGACAGACAGACATAAGTATCTACATGGGTGTACAGGCATTATTCAGTATTGCCCCAAGTAGTGGTGACTTGTCAAAATACTGGTCAGCACAATAAATAAGTGTGACCTTTGATCCTTTCCTTTTGGTCAATAAGCACTAATGAAATAATGAACAATGTTACAATGAACTACCCTAGGGCTGAAAGCAATCTAAGGAGTTTAAGCCTGTGGAGTATAAAACTTGGGTACCCGAAAACAAACTCCGGTTCCAGCACCTTCTCTTTGTGTTAATAGCTAATTGAGTGCTTTTCACATTTAAAATAGAAATGCTCCCATTCCCTTAGTTTCAGAGAAAGAGAGAGAGAGAGAGAGAGAGAGAGACAGACAGACAGACAAAGAGAAAGAGAGCCCACCTCAAATGAAAACATTTAAAACTAAGAAGAGCCAGACGTTGTGGCTTTAATCCCAGCACTTGGGAGGCAGAGGCAGGCGGATCTTTGGGAGTTCAAGGCCGGCCTGGTCTACATAGCAAGGTCCAAGACAGCTGGGGCTAGAGGGGGACCTTGTCTCGAAAAGAACTAAGAAGAGAGCCTGGCATAGTAAGCAGTATTAACTACATCATCACAGAAAAAAAATAAAGGGGCAAAATGACCCCCTTCTTCCATATGCCTACCATTCAGCCACACTTGTCTTCTGAAGTTATCTACACACTCTCATTCTCTATCTACCTATCTATCATCTATCTATCTCTGTCCTTTTTCTCTTCTGACCTTTTCTATTTTGTATGTATATTTACATATATCTATGTACATATATGTACACACACAGGCATACAATAGTTAGCACTGGGAATGAATTCTCCAAATTCATTCTCTAAATGAATAAGACTTTAATACTGTAGCACAGCACCATCACTATAAAGACACATCCCAACAGGAAGTGAGGTGAGGCATAAAACCTTAAAGCCTACCCCAGTAGCATACTTCCTCCAGCAAGGCTTCACTGCCTAAAGATTCCATAACCATCCCACAAAACACCACCAACTAGAATATATACGACTTAAAAGACAAAAAGGTGGTAAGACCATAGCTTGACTGTTTGGTCTATAGATAAAACAGATGGACCCTAATGATGTATGAATTATCAGCTAGAAAGGCAGTCATTCTAACTGCAGTCATTACTTATGATGTAGTATTTTTATTATTATTTAATGAGTATGAGTGTATTGTTTACATGTAAGTAGGTGTACGATGTCATGCAATGCCTGCGGAGGTCAGAAGAGGGCATCATATCCCCTGGACCTGGAGTTACAGACAGTTATTAGCCGCCATGTGGATGTTAGGAATCAAACCTTCTTCAAGAGCAGCCAGTGCTCTTAACTGCTGAGCCATCATCTCTCCAGTCTCCATGATGTAGTATTTTTACTAGATCAAATTAATGCAGTTCATAACCTAGTAAACAAATGCTTTTTCTCCATACTAATTTAGAAGGGAAAGAAAAGAGAAGCACTTTACCCTTTGCTAAACTATCACAGGTCTATGTTAACTTTTCTACTCTGCAATATAGTCCACAGAGACTATGATCATATTGAGCATCCACACATCACATTGGCTTCCTACATTGATGAGATTATACTGATTGGATCTGATGATCAAGAAATAGCGAGTAATTTATATCTTAATAAAATGCACAAAACCAGTACATGAAGTTAAACTATACTCCTGGGGTTTCTGATACCAGTTAGAGTGTAGTCAGATGACTCAAAATATAGTTTTGTTGTTGTTGAAACGGGGTCTCCTTGTAGCTCCAGCTGACCAGGAGCTCACTACGTAGACCAGGCTGGCCTAGAGGCTATATGCCTCTCATGCACAACAGTTAGTAAGTGGGACCTTAAAGGAGACAAGTGTTTAGATCAATATTTAAGGAGTCATAATAACAGCTGAAGGACTGTTTACAGAATAGTCAGCCCCTTGGACTACAATAGATACTACGATACTATTGGTTAAGGATAATGTAGAGAAGAGTTTGAAGGAGTCAAAGACACTAATGGGAAGATTTTCTAGATAGTGATTAAGTAATTGAAACCTGGGGCTGAGGATATAGTTCAGTGGTAGAGGGCTTGCCTAGTGTGCTCTAGGCCCTGGGTTCAGCTCCCAGCACAGACAAACAAGCAAGCTAGCAAACCAACTAACCAAACAACCAGCTCCCTCAAAATTAAAGAAAGGCCAACTGGATCTGACCAGCATGAGTTTCTGGAAGGTCTAGCATTACCCACAGAGAACACTTTTGAGTTCTTTGCTCTAGCACCCCCTTCTTTTGAGACAGCATAATCCTGATAATCCAACTAGAAATGAATAGCATAATAAAATACTCTAATGGGCTAATCCCCATTATAAACATAAATGCCAAATTTTTAGATGAAGTATTAGGAAATCAAATCCCAAATCCATTGAAATAATACAGCAAACAAGTAAAATTTATTCCAAGAATGTAAGGCTGAGTCATCATTTTTCAAAATGCTTTCAGCCAGGCTACAATACATTTTTCATCAGGAAAAGCAATACATGCAATTATCTCAATAGATGTGTTTTTTGTTTTGTTTTGTTTTGTTTTTGGAGACAGGATCTTGCTATGTAGCCCTGATAGGCCCTGAACTTTCTCCAATCCTCCTGCCCCCTGCCTTCCAAGTTGCTAGGATTGCAGTCGTTGAGTCACCACCCCTGGCTTAATCATATTTTTTAAAAGCACTTTTGCCAGGCATGGTAGCACACGCCTTTAATCCCAGCATTCAGGAGGCAGAGGCAGGCGGATCTCTGTGAGTTCAAGGCCAGCCTGGTCTATATAGTGAGTTCCAGAACAGCTGGGGCTACAGGGAGACCCTGTCTCAAAAAGACCAAAAAAAAAAAAAATTGTCACCTTCTCTATTAGGATAGTAGTAAACAAATAGGGGCAGCCAAAAAAGTTAAAAATACAATAAAGCTTTCTCACAGGATGCCTCCTAAAAACATCACATTTGATTAAACTTTTGAAGCATTCTCGTTAAAATCAAAAGACAAAACTACTCATCACCACCACTACTACTGAGCACTTTACTCCAACACACTGCAACATAAATAAGCTAGAAAAAGAAAGGATGATCCGTGGCTAAAAGCAACTGTGGGAAACTTAGGCAGACGAGAATTTACTAGGGTCTGGGGAGATGGCTCAGCAGGTTAAGAGCACTGGCTGTTCTTACAGAGAACTCGGGATTGATCTCAGAGAAGGCTGGTGCCTAACAACCATCCCTAACTACAGTTCCAGGGGATCCAACACCCTCTTCTTGCATGCATGGGTGCACTTGGGGGCAAAACACTCATACACATAAAACAAAAATGAATAGATAAAAAAAAAAAGTTTTAAAGAATTTACTGGAAGAATTTCAGTAATTATTCAAAGAAAAGAGAGACTGAAGAAAGCAAGTAAAACTAGGACCTCCAAAGCACTTCGTAGGATAAACGATCTCAGTAATGGGCTCAGTGCAAACCCAATTCAATTAGCCAGTCTGCTGAGACAACTAAGCTCCAACTGTTCTTTTCAATAATTCACAATCGAGATTCAAAGATTTTCAAGAATAGAACCATATACCAACAAACTATTGCAGAGAGATTAAGAAATGTGTATGTGGTTTATGTGTGTAGTGTATGTCCATGTGTGTTCCTGGCCAGCCTGATCTACACAGTGAGTTCCAAGCTAGTCAGGGCTAAGCAATGAGATCCTGTCTCAAAAATAATAATAATTCCTTGGGCCAGTTACAGCTCAGTAGTAGAACCTAGCATCCATCTCCACCACTGTAAAAAAAAAAAAATCTTGAGGGCCCTAGATTTTTTTGTTTCTATTTAGAATTTGGAAATTATAACAGAGCTTTGAAGATTTTTATGTATTGATTTAAAAATAACAAATGCACTACATGTTAGCATAAACAACATATTCTTTATTTTAAAAATAACTATCTTCCAAAGTAAAAAATGTTTAGTGAGAAAAGGCACACTGTTGTATACTTAGGCAAATCTTAATGTGTGGCTTGAAACAGAAATAGCTAGCTGGATTCTGTTTCCATCTCTTGCAACATCCTAAGTCACATAGCCTCTGGAAAACTTCACTGTACACCCGTGGGAAAATTGGGGTGAAAGATAAATTACATCTGAATATCATTATGAAATCATTTTTACCTGGCAGTGACAGGACACCGCATGGGTAACTGGCCCACACTTTAAGAACCTCTGATGTAGTCAATACAAAGACATCTAATTCATTTTAGAGATGTAGAAACAATGTATTCTTTTCTGATCAAAAGAAGCAATACTTCATGCAGGTTATCAGTCCTTCAAAAACCTCTACAACGCAACAACTTCGACTTAAGTTATAAACTCCAGTTGAAAACAAACAAAAAACCTTACTGGTGCCAAGGATTTAGAAAATAATCCCTGAGTGGTAAGAAATTACCCTCAAGTCTTCACAGGTCACACATTATACCAGGAGGAGGCAGATAGAGACAGAGAAACGAGAGATTCAGAAAATATGGGAAGGCAGGATAACTTAGAAACCAAAGTGCTACAGACGCCAACAGAACTTAAATGTGAGATACAAGAAAACACTGCTCCTAGATCACACGGGTAAGGGAATTTGGGTGGCCTTAAGCTCACATCCCCACGTTTCCCAGGTGGAGATACCATGACAAGTGACTGCAACTTTCACAAGGTCTCCGTGACTGTGAGCATGCTAGCAAGGTGCGAGGTGCCCCCTGCACCATTTTCTTAGGACAGAGTCACAGACCCAGGGTGGTGGGGGTGGCTCTAGGTGACTGTCCTGGGGGAAGTGGTACCACAGGGGACCAAGCGAGGGGTGCGGCCGGGCCTCCCCACAGCGCCCGGGTCCCGCCAGCCGTAGGCAGGACCCCGACGGACCCCTGGTCGCCCCTCCGAGGACGAGTCCCCGGGCCTCCCCCACCCCGCCTGCTTCCCCTGCGGTACGCCCGGGGTCGGCCGAGCAGCAGCGCGCGTCCCTACCCCGCGGCCGACCCGCCGACCCCCGAGCGCCGGGCCCTCCGCTCACCTGGCCGCTGCTTCAGCGCCATCACCGACACCAAGTAGTGGGCGATGTCGAAAAAGGGGAACATGGACGTGCGGGAGAAGGCTAGGGTCAGCTCATCCCACGGGAACTCCATGACGACGACAGAACCCCACGGCCCGAGCAGCCCCGGCCGCCCGTTCCCCTCCCGCTCGGCGGAGATGGGGGAGGGACGGCCGCAGCGGGGCGCTCAGCGGCGCCAGCTCCAACCGTGCGCCTGCGCGCTGGCGCCGAGGGGCGGAGCGTGGGCGGAGCCGAACGGGGGCGGGGCCTCGGGAACCCCAGCGGGTGGGCGGGGCGAGCGGCCTCCAGCTGGGCCCGGCTCGTGTTCTCCTAATAAGGGTCGGAATCTTCTTGGTGTGGGAATGGGTTCCAACCAATGAGTGAAGCACCGTCCTCAAGGGGCGACGCTCGGAGTCAGATTTCTTTCTGTAAACTGATGCCATTCACCTGTTACTGAACAACCAGGATGTTAAACTCACATTGTGACTCAATGAACATAGAAAAAAATAAAACAGTATTATTCTACCCCAGAGCATCATGACACTTAGTTTTCCCAAGAGATTTTTTTTTTTTAAAGGACTCACAGAATTGTACAAGGCATGAGAGGTATAGATGTCAGTTCGGAAGTGATCATCGCAGGCAAGGTGTTAAGAGCAGGACTGTAAACGCCTGGGAAGATCTGGAAGCTAGAACTGAAAACTGAGTTGTGAAGTTGACAAGAAGTAAAATCCTCGAATGGTGGACAATAAAACCAGGCGATTTGGCTCCCAGAGTTTAAGCTCTTGATCCGTCACTGCATTACGCTCAATCTTGTTAACCAAAATCCATACTCTGAAAGCGCAGGGTTGTTTGGGTGCCTGAGATGGGCGGAGAGGTGGAGTTGCAATCAAGCAGCAAATTTGGGGAGAGACTGGTGTGAAGAGATTAGGGAAATCAGAGAGTACTCACCTGCGTTGGTCCAAGAAAAAGGTAGTGGAGGCTGTAGGTCTCAGGGGCAGAGACCCACCTGGAGAAAGGCTGGACAAGCAGAAAGAGATAGATGGTTGTGAGCTCCATCTGCAGAGGTGGAAAAGACAGCGAGGTTTACCAAAGAAGGAAAGGGGCAATCAATAGAGAGGCTGGAAACACAGAACTAGGAAACACAAAGAGGAGCAAATCTGGGTAAGAATAAAAATGAGTCTGGCACATTTTTATTTGATATATCAACACATCATGCTGTTAACAGGAAAATGAAAGCACACAAACCATTGAAATGGGAGGCAGATAACAGCTGTGTGGAGGATTGCCTAAAGGGTGACTCCCTTCATTTTTTTAAATGACTTTAGCCTTTGATATTAACTCTTTTAGCAAGTGCTATTTGGATGCCTGCTTTGTACTAAACATTTTACTGGTTGTTAGAGGCACTATCCTAAACACTAAGTGCTTAAAGTGTAAGAAATTGTAGTAAATTTCTACATTTAATTACTTACAAGAAAGAACGGCCTTGTTAAAATACTTTTCGTTTGTGGTTTTTTAAGCAAATACCTCCTAAGAGAAACTTTTTTTTAACCTCTGGCACACTTTGTTGTAAGTATAAAGAAATAAGAAGCCGGGCGTGGTGGTGAGTGCCTTTAATCCCAGCACTTGGGAGCAGAGGCTGATCTCTGTGAGTTCAAGGCCAGCCTGGTCTACATAGTGAGTTTCAGGACAGCTGGGGCTACAGGCAGACCCTGTCTCAAAAAGACCAACAACAACAACAAGAACAAAGTAATAAGAAACGCTTGTGGCTTTATTAGTTCTTTCCATGTGTGTTAGAAGCTTCCATATCTTTGGAATTTAATGCTGTGAGTTTGGGGGCAGAGCTAGGATATATCATTTATTTAATGATGGTATATGAGTCTTATATTTAGTAAAATATGTTTCATGCTTGGATTTAAAAACATGGTTATCAGAAAATAGCAATGTCTCTGAGACATACTCTATGCCATATCATTCTGGAAGCATAAGTAAATTCCTTATTCAGACCAGTAGGGCAAAAATGAAAAGCAGCAGAGATTTCTTTTTTCCAGATGGTAAATGAAGCAGAAAGAAATTACTCTTATGAGACTTTATAAGTAACTTGAAATTTGTTTCAATATAAAATAAAAATAAAGTCAATAAAAATAAGCTTGGTCCTGTCTGCCTAGAGCCTAAAGACATTCTTTTTAAGATTTCAGGAAAATAAAATAGAAATATCACAAAAACACAAACTCTGACCAGAGTTGTTTGTTTATTTATTTGCTTATGTGACACAGGTTCTCACTCTGTAACCGTGGCTGGCCTGGAACTTATGGTGTAGACCAAGCTGATCTCTAACTCACAGAGCTCCTCCTGCCTCTGCCCCTCCAGTCCTGGGAGTTGAAGGTGTGAACCACCACTCTGTTCTCCGTGTGGATCTTATCTGCGGACCTGTATTTCCTTCTGGTCAGTATAGAGGTTATTCAGTCTACAGAAATGCTGCATCATTGACAGACATGGGGAATGACAGGAAGACTTTGAAAGGGCGAGAGGAAAGGCAAGATTTGGGAGTTACATACAAGCATCCAGCTTTTCCTGACTTTTCCTGAAAGTGATTTACAAAATTATATATTTATTGCTGATAAACTGAATCCAAACTTAGAAAGGTATTCACTAGGAAATAAAACTGATCTAACCAGATTAACATCTAAGGAATTTTCACTAATTCTATTCAAAGCATTTTTCAAGTTCAAAAACATGTGAAACTAACTTGTCTAAACCAGGTTTCTCAGCAGCCACGCTGTTGACATTTGCACTGAACAATTCTTTGTTATATGGGACTGCCCTGGGTATTACAGGATATTTAGCAGCATTCCTGGCACACGTAGGTGTGCATGCACACACGCACACATGGATACACACACCAGCTGTGACAACCAAAAATATCTCCAGACATTGTGAAATGGTCCCAGAGTAGGATGGTTACAAAATCATCCACAGTTCAGAACCAAGCCAGTTAATGAATACATGCTCCCTTTGACAGTCTAGATTTCTATTAATACATGCATAATGTCCATGCCATAATAGTCATCATCAGATTAATTCTAGAACTGCTTTCATAACCCTTCTTAGCATTGGCTTCCTCATCCTTCTCCCTGGCTTCAGAGGCCATATCCTGATAGCCAACATCACAAATGCCATCCTAACCCTTTCTTTCCTGCAGTACTGCTTTCTATCCACTGAGTGGCATGCCTTTCACTTTGGGAAATTATAACAAATTTGTAAAGGATCATAAAGAGTGCATGAAAAGAAAGGGACCAATTGCACTTCTAAAATTTAGGCATTTTCATCTAAAGTTATTCTGACAGCTACTTAACAACTTCTCAGTTATCAAAATGTAATATGGTGTGGCATGTCAAATATGTATATTTTGAATTCAACCCTTTTAATGTTCAGGATTATAAGAATTAACTAGAAAGTACCAGTTGTGCTCAAAATAGCCACCATATCCAGTCAGCTTGATGAAGACAGTGGCTCCTGAGATTTAAGTGGTTAAACCAGTTTGAGTACACACTCAGCTCTTTATTCAGTTTGCTTTTAGTAATAGCACCTTTGACACTGTTTCTGGGAAAATATGACCTTGCCCTTTATTTCTTATACTGGGAAGTGAAAATCTTTGTCTATAAATACCAATCATATTTCCAATAAATTTAAACTGTTACATTAAAAACAGTGGTCCATGTGCCATAAGTACAAATTCACCTCAGTAAAAGCCTAATGTTATCAAAGGGAATAGCTCTAATTGTCACCAAAGCTAAACTCTGTCAGTCATCAACACCATACCTGCCAGTTGTCTGTGAGTAACACTTGGGATGGCTGTAACTCACTTGTCTGTGAGTTACAATCCAGTATAAAAGTATTTGGGGGCCAGTAAGATGGTTCAGTGGGTAAAAATGCTTGCTGTGCAAGCTTGATGAACTGAGTTTGATCTCCAGAACCCACAGGAGAAGAAGAGACCCATTCTCACAAGTTTTCCTCTGATCTCCACATGCTTGCCTTGCAGACATGTACCCACACACATGCACCTGGATATGCACACAAATAAGAATAAGAATAATTTAAATATTTTCCTATAAATATTAAGAAACCATGCTGGGAAGCTTAAGCAAAGTGGGGAAGTTACTGAATCCCATGGAAATGAAGAAGTGTTGAGCAGTAAGCCCAGAAGAGGAAGAAGCAAAGCATTTTGGGCCTCGAAGCAGCAGGGGATCAGGGGCTTCAGTCTCTGATGATGCTTAGTGCCAGCATCCCTCAGCCTGGACTCACCCATTCAATATTGCCAGGAGACACAGCCTACCCTGGCATGAAAAAGATGTCTTCTCCTGGTTAATAAGCTGTGGGTAGAGAACTGATCACACAGTTAAGACACCACAGTACATCAAAGGCAATTTCCTGTGAAAGGAGGGAGCCAGACAGCCATCCCAAGAGATAAGACATTTATTACCATTTTCTTTTGTTGTGGTTGTTGTTATTTTTGGTTGTTGTTGTTTTGTTTTGTTGGTGAGACAGAGTCTTATGTAGGAGAAACTAGCCTTGAACTCACTATGTAGCTGAGGATGACCTTGAACTTCTAACCTTCCTACCTCATGCATCATCATACCTGTTTTTTTGTGGTGCTGGGATCAAACCTAGGGCTTCATGCATGTTAGCAAGCACTCTACCAACCAAGCTAACACCCCCAGACCATATTCTCACTTTCTTTAACCCATTTATTTTAAACTAGTGGCTAGAAAAAGGTCACAAAGACAGTAACAAACTAGAATTTATTTATTTATTTATTTATTTATTTTGTCTTTTTGAAGCAGGGTCTCCCTGTAGCCCCAGCTGTCTTGGAACTCACTATGTAGACCAGGCTGGCCTTGAACTCACAGAGATCCACCTGCCTCTGCCTCCCAAGTGCTGGGACTACAGGTGTGGGCCACCACGCCCAGCTCAAACGAGAATTTTTAATAATTCTGTCTTAAGTACAATGTAAGCATTTAGTTTTCTCTGGTTCAACAAAGTTCAAATACTACTAAAGCTTTCCTTTACTCCCAGGTATTATAGCAAGGGGTCAGATGAGGACCAGGATCTATAGCAACCCTGAGCTACGTCATCCTACACTTGACATTATCTCAACAAATCCCATTGCTTTCTCTCCATTTAAGATACAGAAAGAAAAAGTTCATTACAGTTAAAACGTCAACATCA